TAAATGAGAACTCTGCTAGTGAGGATGTATCTGTTGCTGCAAATATGGCAGGTACATCAACATATTGTTTTAATTCCTGTGTTAGTTTAAATAGTTCTCAAAGTTGGATTGTTGATTCTGGGGCAAATCAACATATGATTGCCTCAGAGTCACAACTCCAGGACACTGTGGATGTGTCTAAACTTAACCTTCTTGTGAAACATCCTAATGGTTCTTCTGCATCAATAAATAAGATTGGAAATGTTCACTTATCTTCTAATCTTACTTTGTTTGATGTGTTTGCTGTGCCTGATTTTAATGTTAACCTTTTATCTGTACATAAATTGTGTAAGGATAATGGATGTGAGGTAATTTTTTCTGAACATAACTGTAAAATTCAGGATTCACTATCAAAGAAGATGGTGGAGAATGGTAGAGAGTCTGGGGGACTGTATTATCTAGATCATGTTCCCTCAGGTAATTCAGTTAGTCTAAATAATTCTAGATGTTGTGTTTCAAAGTTAACTTGGCATAGCAGACTTGGTCATCCGGCTGACCAAGCTTTAAATTCATTAAAAGATAAGCTGAAGTTAGGAAATGAATTTCTTCCCCCCTGTGATGTGTGTCACAGGGCCAAACAGACTAGGGAATCTTTCTCTCTTAGTCAACATAGTTCAACATAGTTAGGAGAATTAATTCATCTAGATGTTTGGGGTCCCTATAGACTTGCTTCTGTAGAAGGTTTTAAGTATTTTCTGACTATTGTTGATGATTTTACTAGGGCTACTTGGGTTTTTCTCTTAAGGTCTAAAAGTGAAGTTTTTGATTCTTTTAAATCTTTTGTGAATATTTTATTGAATCAATTCAGTGTTAATATTAAGGTTGTGCGTTCTGATAATGGTACTGAGTTTGTTAATAATCAAATGAGATGTTTTTGTATAGAAAGAGGTATCATTCATCAAACTTCTTGTGCTTATACTCCACAACAAAATGGGGTTGTGGAAAGAAAGCACAGGCACATTCTTAATGTTGCACGATCTCTTTTGTTTCAGTCAGCAATTCCTTTAAGGTTTTGGGCAGATGCTATTTTAACTTCAGTATTTTTGATAAACAGAATGCCTACCTCAGTTTTAAATGGGTCTTCTCCTTATGAACTTGTTTTTAAAAAGACTCCTAATTTCGATCATTTGAGAATTTTTGGTTGCCTTTGTTTTGCAGTTAAACAAAATGTTAATGATAAATTTTCTGAGCGTGCTGAAAAATGTGTTTTATTAGGATATTCATATGATAAAAAGGCTTATAAGCTTTTTAGTCTGGATACTAACACTTCTTTTATGTCCAGGGATGTGAAATTTTATGAGTCTGTTTTTCCTTACAAGTTAAAGTCAACAAATGTTGACAAAACTGTACATGTTTTTGGCTCTAGTGATCCATTTTCCTATGATGTTTTTGATACTAATGAATACTTAAATGATTCTATTGATCCTGATGAGTTGAGAATAGAGTCACAGTTGGATGGTGCTGATGCAGCCACTCACCTGGATGATAATATTTCTAATGATACTGTCAATCGTAGTGGCGAGGCAGTTGTGCCTTCTTCTGTTGGTTTTGTTCCTTCTTCTTCTGATTTTTCTGAGGAAAGTAGTCAGTTACCATTAATTCCTTCTGTTGAGCAGTCTATAGGTTCTTCTAGGTCTAGACGTGAGTCACACATGCCTGTTAGGTTTGCTGATTATATTGTTGAAGGTAAATATAAATATGGTATTGAAAGGTCTGTCAATTATTCCTTATTGGATAGTAATACAAAATGTTTTATTTCAAACTTGAATAAAATTGTTGAACCAAAAGATTATAAGGAAGCCTTAACTGATCCTAACTGGGTTAGAGCAATGAATGAAGAGATGGAGGCACTCCATCGAAATAATACTTGGGAAATTACTAATTTGCCTAAAAATAGAAAACCAATAGGTTGTAAGTGGGTTTTCAAAATTAAATATAAATCCAGTGGTGAAGTAGAAAGATATAAAGCTCGTTTGGTTGCTAAAGGGTATAACCAAAGAGAAGGAATAGATTTTGAAGAAACTTTTTCTCCAGTTGCGAAAATAGTGACTGTTCGTATTATTATTTCTTTATCTGTTCAGAATTCATGGCCTTTATATCAACTTGATATAAATAATGCTTTTTTATATGGTGATTTAACTGAGGATGTTTATATGTCTCTTCCTCCTGGTTATTATTCTGCTGGTGATTCTAGGGTGTGTAAACTTACTAAATCTCTATATGGATTAAAGCAAGCCCCAAGAAAATGGAATGAAAAACTTTGCTCTTCTTTATTTTTATATGGTTTTCAGCAAAGTATAAGTGATTACTCCTTATTTGTAAGAAAGTTTGAAGGTTCATTGACTGTGTTACTTGTATATGTAGATGACATTATTTTAACTGGAAATTGTGAACATGAATTGCAAAAGGTTAAAAATTTTATGAAAACTCAGTTTTTAATTAAAGATCTTGGAGTTTTGAAGTATTTTTTGGGAATAGAAGTGGTAAGGTTTAATGATGGTTTATGTTTAAATCAAAGAAAATATTGTTTAGAGTTATTACATGAATACGGTATGCTTGCATGTAAACCAGTAAGTACACCTTTGGAAACAAATTTTGTGTTAGATTCTGGTGAAAAAAATAAAGGAAATGCTTTATTAGAAAATAAAACGGAATTTCAAAAATTGATAGGAAAACTAATATACTTAACTGTTACTAGACCTGATATTTCTTATGCTGTTCAAGTGCTTAGTCAATTCATGCATAAACCTAACAGGTCTCATCTTAAAATTGTAATGAGACTTTTAAGATATCTAAAGAATAGTCCAGGTAAAGGAATAGCTATAACGAAATTTGACAGTTTTGAACTTAAAGGTTTTGTAGATGCAGATTGGGCTAAGTGCTTGGTTACAAGAAAGTCAGTATCTGGATATTTGGTTTATTTTAATAATTGTTTGATATCTTGGAAGAGTAAGAAACAATCTACTGTTTCTAGGTCTTCTACTGAAGCTGAGTATAGAGCTCTTGGTTCTGTTACGTGTGAAATAATTTGGGTGTTAAAAATTTTGTTTGAATTAGGAATTAAGGAGTTACTTCCAGTTTCAGTTTTTTGTGATAATGAGTCGACTATTAAACTGGCTTTGAATCCTGTTTTTCATGAGAGGACAAAGCATTTTGAAATCGACCTGCATTTTGTTAGGGAAAAAATTTCTAATGGTATAATAAAATTGGTAAAAATTTGTTCTTCTGAACAAACGGCAGATATTCTTACCAAATCTTTAACTATAAAACAACATGATTTTTTGTCTAACAAAATGGGTCTTGTAGATGTTTTTAAAAAATAAAAAATAAATATTTCGATTGAGGGGGGATGTTGAAAAATAAGGAAAATTCAATTATTTTCAATCTCATATTTATTTATAACTTAAAGGGTGTAAAGTGTATAGATTGTATTCTTCTGGAGTTAAATGTTTTACAGGGAAGATGAACACGCGGGTCTTGAGGATCTTAAAGCGGGTTGGATCCGGGTTGCTAACAAATAAAAGAAGAGAGAGAGTGTGTCTGGAAAGATCTCTCGTTCACTTCTCATTCTTGGAGCTGTGTAAGGCGATTAGGGTTTCTCCGAGTTTAAGAGTTTCTCGTTGTTAAATCGCTCATAGTTCAAAGTGTTTTGTAGTTTTGCCTTGTTGATCATTTGTTCAGATATTTAGGTCTTAATACTTACACTTTCAGATTGTGTTTTAGTTTAGGGTTTGAGTGTTATGTTGCGAGAGTAGATTAGGGTTTATGTAGTGAGGTTCTTTTGTAAGTACATGAAAACCTTCTGTTTCTTTATCCTAAAATGATATAAGAAATGAAGATGTTGGGAAAGTAGCAGTTGTACATTTTTTCACAAGGATGGTTCGTTGTTGTTTGGTCACTATTATTTGACCGGTTTTGCTACGATTGAGTTTTAGACACAGTTATATATGGATAGTCATAAATGATGGCTCTCATGTGATGTAAGTAATATAATTGTGTGCTTATTACATATTGTGCTTCTAATAACAATACTTACTTTACTATCAAAAAAAAAAATTAATGGCAACACATCAAGATGTGGATCTCATTGCTGCTAGAGCGTAAAGCGGATGATGCTCGGTGGACAGTTGTATTGTCTGCTTTCAACACTGATACATTTGACTGGGGTGACATGACTGACAGATCTATTTACCTAACTTGGGCAGATTATGATACAATATAATTGTGTTTGGATTACATTACGTAAGTATTTATATACTAATTACTTATTCCTAATCTTTTTGTAGTTTTACATCTCAATCAATATACCACATGCTCATTGGTTTTTGGGTGCTTTAGATTTGAAGACATTCAAAATGACTCTAGATGATAGTCATTGGAAGGACGACTACTATTTAGAAAATGAGGATTAGTTTATAGCTATGAGAGTCTGCATCAACTACTGGGATACCGAAACAACTGATTTAATCTCACTTGAGAGCTTCAACATGACCCTCGAAAATGCTCCAGAAAATACCACAATAGATTGATAGTAGAGGGGATTGTGAGGTGTATTTTTGTTGGTCTCGAAGGGGTTGATCACCGGGAAATTGATTTTTATAGAGCATAAAAACTGATCCATGGGCTATGAGTTCTCGAAAATGACTAGCGAAGATTTTTGGGGTACAAAGACTATTTGAACATTATATTTGTAATCACTTAAAGACATGTCCATTAGTTTATATATTTGTTAGTTGTTTGTTGATTTTAATTGCATTTTACATTTTATAAAACCAAAATTTATAACAAAACTTAAACATTATATAAAACGAAAAGTTATACTAAAAAAAGAACACATGTTATATAAAAAAATATATTTCAAACCGATGATCCGGAATCATACTCCCGTATTCATGTGTTCTACAAAGTAAATAAATAAATTGGGTCATTTTATCGAAATAGTCATTTATAAGGTTAGATTAGTCATACTCCCCAAAATAAACTTTATCCAATTATTCGTAAGATAAACTTCCTGTCTTTCTTAGTTTCTTTCAATTACCAAGCTACCTCAAATAACCAAATGACTGGCAATACGCAATAATCAAGCGTCAGACAACACGCTTTTAGGGGTTCCACCATTACTTTTCTATAAGCCCCAAAATCGTCTCGACTATAACGACTCTATTCGAGAATTCACTAAAACCCCTATTGTAATTCAAACGCAGTTCGTGTTCTTCTGTTCTTTGAGAAAGAAAGGATATCTTTGAGCTTCATTTGTGTGTGTGTTTGGTGGCCCAATAATGGCCGATCAAGAAGAGGGAGATTTGGTGAGTCAACTGGTTGACTTGGTCAGGGATATTTCAGGGTTACCCGAGTGCAGAAACGCTCTACGGAAGATGTATGGGAATTTGATGAGGAGGGTGAAGCTTTTGAGCCCTTTGTTTGAGGAACTCAAAGACAACGAACAAAAACTTGATGATGGCGATCTTAAGGGGTTACAGAGTTTGAGAATCGCTTTGAATTTGGCTTTTGAACTCCTCAAATCAGTCAATGATGGCAGCAAGATTTTTCAGGTAATTTTCACAACTTCTTGTTCATTTTGTGCGATCATTATAATCTGAAGCCATTTCTGTAAGTAGGAACTATAATTGAGCATGATCGGATTGTAGGGTGTCATTCAAAATCTGTTTTTATCTTATCTTTTACCTAATTCATATTTTTGTGGGTATAACGATTGTTTGTGTGTTTGAGACTGGTTATTACATGTACAAAAACGATTATTTATGCTACCATTTGGTGAAATCATAACAATTGATCAATGGGACAAGACTACAAAGACTATGATCTCATGATTAGTGAGAATGTATTTTGATTTATGCCTAATAAGAATGCTTACATTTTGTGGTTTATGTCTGTAGGTGTTATATCAGTTGGTATTGGAAAAATTAAAGCAAACCATGATTAGATTTGGTCCATTATTCAAGATTCATGAAATTTGTATAAGATTTTGACTTGTTACCAGTTTTGAACTCAAATAAGTCAAACCCAATTTTACTTTGAAGTAGATATCATCAAACATGTATAATAATTTGTCGAAATCCATGGTTTATAAGTTATAACAAACTCGTTTGGTGTTACATATGTGACAGGCGCTTCAAATTGACAAAACCACAGGCAAGTTTCATGTAGTAACAACACAGATTGAAGAGGCACTTAACCAAATCGATTACAATAAACTAGATTTATCTGAAGAAGTTCACGAACAGGTCTCTTTCTTTCAAATTTAAATATACTACTCTTTATGGGTTTTCATTTAACCCAAATAACTAACAAGAATCCCGTTTTGTTTCTTCAGATTGAACTTGTGCACGTACAATTTAAAAGAGCAAAAGCACGAATGGATTCACCCGATTTACAGCTTCAAAGAGATTTAACCATGGCAAGTAAGGGAAACCACGAGCTAGATCCTGAAACAATCAAAAGACTATCGGAAAAATTACATCTTACTACAATTAACGATTTAAAAAAGGAATCACTTGCTATTCATGATATGGTCATATCAACGGGTGGCTACCCTGAAGATTCGTTTGAAATGATGTCGTTTCTTCTCAAAAATATCAAAGATTGTGTAATGAAAGGAAACCCTGAAGTTGATATCTCAGAGGGAGAAAAGAGCATCATGAGGCATCGATCTCCTGTCATTCCAGACGATTTCCGGTGCCCGATTTCTCTCGAACTGATGAAAGACCCCGTGATTGTGTCAACCGGACAGGTACCAATACCATAACTTACCAATAATAGCAATGTACTTTGTTTTATCACCTATAGTAGCAATTTAACTTATATGTGTATTAATCCATACAGACTTATGAGAGATCGTCTATTCAGAAATGGCTAGATGCAGGGCACAAAACATGCCCAAAAACTCAACAAACATTACTACACACAGCATTAACACCAAACTATGTGTTGAAAAGTCTAATTGCTCTATGGTGTGATAGTAACGGAATCGAGCTCCCAAAATCAAACCAGAAACCGGGTCGACCCGGTTCGGAATGTGATCGGACCGTGATTGGGTCGTTGCTCCAAAAGCTTGTAATCGGGGATTCAGACGAACAAAGATCAGCAGCCGGTGAGCTCAGATTATTAGCCAAAAGAAACGCGGATAACCGCGTTTGTATTGCAGAGGCCGGTGCAATTCCGCTGCTTGTGGAGCTCTTATCATCACCCGATACGCGGACACAAGAACACGCAGTCACTGCCCTTTTGAATCTATCAATCAATGAAACAAACAAAGGGATTATTGTAAGTGTAGGGGCAATTCCGGAAATTGTCGATGTTTTGAAAACCGGGAGTACGGAGGCGCGTGAGAACGCTGCCGCCACTCTCTTCAGCCTCTCGGTGGTGGACGAAAACAAGGTGGCGATCGGAGCCGCCGGTGCGATTCCGCCGTTGATTGAGTTGCTTCAAGAAGGGACCCCACGAGGGAAGAAAGATGCTGCGACTGCTATTTTTAACCTCTGTATTTACCAAGGGAATAAAGTTCGGGCAGTTCGGGCAGGGATTGTGACGCCGTTGATGGGGTTGCTGAAGGATGCGAGTAGTGGGATGATGGATGAGGGTTTGGCTATTTTGGCTATATTGGCGAGTCATCAGGAAGGGAAGATGGCGATTGCTGAGGCTGAGCCGATGGGGGTTTTGGTGGATGTGATACGGACCGGGTCGGCCCGGAATAGGGAAAATGGGTCGGCGGTTTTGTGGTCTTTGTGTGCAGGTGATGTTAGGTCTTTGAAGATGATGAAGGAGCTTGGAGCTGAAGAGGTTTTGAAGGAGTTGTCTGAGAATGGGACTGAAAGAGCTAAGAGGAAGGCTGGAAGTGTGTTGGAACTTCTGCAACGAATTGAATCGGTTGAAACTAGTACTGTAATTGGATCCTGATATTTTTGTTTTTGTATGTATAATGAAGTTATTATATTCATTTACATGGAAATCTCTTCTCTTTATGTATAAAGAGTAAATGATAGAATAATTTATGAATAAATCAATTGTAACAAAATAGAGTGTAGGAGATGGTGTATCATGACTATCATGTGATTTATGTCTATGCTGTTTGAAGTTTGTAATGATCAAGTAATCAGTGTGGTTTTGATTGTTTCGTTATTTATGAGAGTCATTTTCATACAGTTTCTAAGGAAAAAAAAAAGATGCTTATTCGCCATCCGTGGGACTCGAACCCACGACCACGTGGTTAAAAGCCACGCGCTCTACCAACTGAGCTAGAACGGCTAGATGTAAGACTGCGGTCAGTAATATATTCTACCGCTTATTTTTACCTCCACACAGAAATAGATAATGTTGCTTATTTTTTTAATTAATCAAATTTCCTTTATGGTAATTTTTCTAGTAAACAAGTTTTTTGATACTTATTAGTAACAAGCATTTGATATCAGCAACTTTCATTTTGAATCGCAATGCGTAAGTTGTAAAAGACCCAAATCCACCTTCTTGTGCTATACTAAACTTTTGTAATACAAAGCTCAACTTACAAGTTGTGGGCAGTTATATGTAATGTTGCAGTTGAAGTTTGTCCAAGTCTTTCTGTTACTAGAAAGCCTAATCACTCCACTTATTAGATTAGATGTATATTCGATATATTTCATATGGACACTGGATAGGTCTAGCCTAGATATATCTAAGGCATTATGTGAAAATCAAATCTAAGGCATTATTTGAAAATCAAATTGAACCTACCACTAAATTTAAAACTTAAAGTGATAACAAACGTTGTAAATACGCTACCTGAGCACCATATTACTATTTTTTAAACATCTATTGTCTAGCTTTCTTATAAGTAATCTACAGAGGCATCAATTGAGGGCATGACCTCACATAGGAGGGCATGGATGCATATGATTAGGATAGTTGAGTAGTATAGGAGTAGTCATTGTCATTGCTGACTTTGAATGATTAAGCGGAGATTTCTTTGTTGCTTCCTGAAATCCGATTTTGCATCTGAAATTTATGCATATACATTGCTGATTTTTTTTTATTAATGCTTGATCCTCTTATAATTATTTTTCTTGATTTGTGGTTCCATGAAATAAATTTGAAAGGACACTACGAACAATGGTTGATGTAAAAGAAGATGATGGATCAAGGACACAAACAAGAGGCTTCAAGATAGATGAGTCTCGTTTTAAAATTTTGGATTGCATTGCAAACATTTGGCTCTTGAAGACATATAGGTTGTGTTTTTAATATGGAAAGATTGTTTCTTGGCGACTCTTTTATGTTTTGAAAAAGATTGGATTACATTCCAAATATTTATAAAAATGTTCGTAAGAGCATGGACTACGCTGCAAATTGTTTAATTGGTGAAAATATTTTTGAAGGGTAAAATGTTCTTAGGGATATTAAAAAAAATACGATAATGGAACGTTATGATAAGGGAGTTTATAAATTTGAATTAGGCTTGTCATTGTTTAAATATAATTAATAATATAAACTTATAATTAAATAATAATAAATATTCACTAAATATAATAAATAAAAATATTTAAATCTATCTCGAAAAGATTTTAAAATTTTCAATCCAAACAATCAATTTAATTAGATCGATTAAACGAAATAATCCATTTAATTTAAATGATTTGAAACTCCATTAATCTTTATAATTCCTATACAATAATGGCAATTGAAGTTTTATTACTCTATGGATACTTAAACCTAAAATAGTATATTAATAGGACAAAAAAAAAAAAAAAAAAAAAAACCTTACATTTATTTATCACTTTCTTGGATCTATCTATAATCACTAGTTAAAGTTCAAGTCAATTAAATTCCATTCAAACAATGGCTTATCTATCCAATTTGGGGAAGAAAAATGGAAGTTTACATCAAATCCGAAATTGTCAGATTGAAGCAACAGTTTATATGTTTTTATTTGCAGTTAAGAAAGAGTTTAAGGAGGCAATGAGACTTGAGACGAAAAGAATAACGGAAAAAAAAAATAACAATAACGCCATCCGTGGGACTCGAACCCACGACCACGTGGTTAAAAGCCACGCGCTCTACCAACTGAGCTAGAACGGCATTTTGAAGTGATTGTTTAGAAATTTTATTAATAATTATTAATCTGAGTTAAAACATAAAAACATGAGTTATTATGCAACGCCATCCGTGGGACTCGAACCCACGACCACGTGGTTAAAAGCCACGCGCTCTACCAACTGAGCTAGAACGGCTTTTTGTTTTACCTATTTTGTAAGTAAATTAATTTTATTTACCACGTATAAATATTTAACTTTCTTTTTAATCAAGTTTATATTTTACTCATTAAAAAAAACTACTTTACATTTTAAAGAAACCAATATGATGTTTGTAAGATGGATATATTGAAGTAACGCAGCTTCATTATTTGATTTAGAAGAAACATTCGGTTAATAAAGTAAAGGAATGAACATGAAATATATTACCAACAAACATAGTTACGGTGACAATTCATTTAAACGATTATGACAAATTTTACACCTTTTTTTTTTGTTCAGGGTTATCTAAATTCATAACACAAAGCGATTTGAGAAAAAGCTAAAAGTATTTTTCAACAGAAAATAACCAACACTCTATTTATAAATAGTCTTTATATATGAAATAACAATTGTATTATGTTGTAGTAAGAGTCGATAATTTATTCAGGATCATGTAGTCTACATAACCTATTAAATTTCGTATTATAAATAATACTGGCTAACGTTCCCACGTTATACTCCGAACGATAATGTAATAAAAAAAATGACACATTGTTTTTATTCTAGTTTCAAAATCTTTCGCCTTTCTCTAAAATAGAAACAAAGTTGTCATATTACTATATAAGTGATTGTGTAAATTTAACTAGTTTTGGATGGTGATGTTTCATTTCGATCAAGTAAGATTAAAATATATATAGATTGAGCTAAATGACTATAGGTGCAACCTCAAGGATATCATTATTAGAAGTGTGTTGTAGTCGTTCTTCAGTTAATCATTCGTATCAATACAATACAATTTTTTCTAGAAAAAAACAAATGTAGCGTGATATATGGGTGTGGACCGGTGGGCGGCAGTTAAGAGTACAGACAAATATCTTTATTTAAGGTTGATAATTTATTTATGAAATAAGATTATATGTTTTTATTAATTTATATAACAAAATAGAATTTTATTATTTATGCAACAAGATTAAATTTTATAATATATTAAACTAACTGAATCTATATGTTATCAATGATAAGTAATGATTTTTTTTTATAATAGCATCTTATGTTAGTTTTTTCTAGAACTCTTTTGCTATTTGAAGGGTTTTTGTTTTTTAACCTTTTATTTTTCTTTTAGAGTTTGTTACATTTTTATCTTTACATCTAATTACATTTTGTATATAGTAAATATATTTAGATATTAGATTTATTATTAGTTAACCAATTAAGTTAATAAAATAAAAATGAGTATAGTTTATAAAAAAGTTATAAAACTTTAAAAATTGTTAAACTCTCAAAATTAAAATAGACAAAACTTCAAAAATGGTCTATGTGGTTTCCAGAAATATCAAGTTTAGTCCTTAAGTTCAAAAAACCTCACAGATGGTCTCTGTGGTTTCAAAACTTTTGACAAATGGTCATTTCGGCTCACTTCATTAGCATTTCACCGTTAACTCATTTTTTAATAAAATATTGCAGGGGTAATTTCATCATTTTAGTTGTAACCTTCTCTCTTTAATATGAAATGATTACTTGCTTGCACATCACTACCCGTCCCTCTCCCAAGAAGATAACCAGTTACAGGTTTAGTCATCGGATTCATTCCCATCGTAGAAGCAAGAACAGAAATTAGGATTTAGGGTTTTAAGCTGCAGAAATTGCAATGGTGCTATCAATATGGTGTTTTCGAGAAAAATTTGTAACCGTGGAGGACTTAGGAAAAAGATACGGTACAATACTACAACAAAACTTGTTTTTTCTTGGTCTATTGTGTTGACGTAAGGAAATCATTAATTTTACTCTTTTTTTTTTGTGTTTACAGAAGGTTATGACAACTATTTCACGTTGAAGATACACTACAGTGGTGTCTTCACCAAAGCACCTGGAAGGAAATACGTTGATGGTGTTGTAGCATATGTAGATGATGTTGACACTAATTTATTTTCAGTTCATGAGCTTGACGACATGGTTCGAGAACTAGGGTAAAAAACTGAGCAAACCCTTTACTACCATTTCTGTATCCCTGAATACCCTTTGGACTATGGCGTAATGCATTTAGCTAATGATCAAGATGTACTTAAAATGGTATCATATGTCCCTAAACATTGACTTATTAGGGTGTATATTGAAACTGGTCATACAAGGGTAGCTACTTATTACAAGTCTCCTTCTAAAGTTGTTATTGAAGAGTTGGAGCCTGATAGTGTGTCACCTGAAATGAATAGAAAGAAACCTTGTAGGAGAGAAGCAAGATCATGTAGTAGAAAGCTTGATCTAAACAAGTCTATAAACCCTGATTATGAGTAGTCACAAGTGTTAGATGTTGATGAAGGCCAACATTACTCAAAGAGTATTGTACCATTTATAAGGTCACAAGGCAAACAAAGTCATGTCATTCAAAAAGAAGTGGTGAATCATGAAATTGAAACTCAAGAAGAAGTGATCACTAGTACAGTTGAAACTGAAGAACCATTGGGAACTTACCATGTACAGGAACCAAGCTGCCAAGCTGATGATGGAGCTAATACTGCAACAGTTGATGATTATGAACCATTTATAGAGGATTACTCACTTTATGCTAATTATGATGCTGAGTTTAATGTTGAAACTTCATTTGAAAAACAACCAGAAGTGGATTATCTAGAGGGTATGGTGAGTGATGATAGTGGAGAAGCTTTCTACTCTGAGAGTGGCCATGGTTCTGAGGATAGTGGAGATGATTCCGATGACAGTAAATACAATGTGGATGCGTCTAACATACAATTTGATGTAGATGTAGACATGAGTGAATTCCATAATGCTGTTGATGTAGATGAACATGGAATCTTGAACAATCATTCAAAAGATGAAGGGATTGACATGGTTGATGATGAGTTGGAAGTTACTGCCACTGATGATTATCAATTTGCAGGATTTCATGAAGATGATAGGAAGAGACTGCTAAAAGAGTTGAGTAAGTCAAGTATATGCTCACATGGAGAGGTTTATGTTAAACCATTTCAGATTGGCCAGGTCTTCAAAACCAAGATTGATGTTAAAAACTACATGAACTCACATGCTGTAGCAACAAGGAGGTCTTTATACCTAGCCAAAAAATGACAAAATTCGGATTAGGGTGAAATGTAAAGGTGTTGTAAGTAAGACTTCTACAGGAGTTGATGGTGGTGGGCCCTCAACTAGAAATAGGGTAAAGATGTAATTGCCAATAAAGGTACATGTCTATGGGCAGTCCAAATATCGAGGGCTAATGAAAATCAGGATTGGTTGGTGAAAACAGTACAAGATGAGCATAAATGTTTGCAAACAAGGGTGGTTAAAGCTTGCACTTCCAGATACGTAGCAAACTTAATTGTTCAACAAATACAAAGTAACCCTAAAATTCCAGTGAAAGCTTTACACAAAGAGTTGTGCAAGAAACTGGAAGTAGGAATGTCATTGCAAAAGGTTGTTAGGGTAAAGTCAATGGCTGAGCGTATCATTAGTGGGGACTACAAAGTACAGTATGGATTTTTGAGGGATTATGTGTTGGAGCTACTCAACACTAATCCTGGTACAACAATTCGGATTGATGTATATCCAGAAACCTCCCTGTCTGTTACCACAAGAACTTTTAGAAGAATATATGTCTGTTTAGGTGCATTGAAGTTAGGATTCAAATCTGGATTAAGAGATTTCTAGGTCTGGATGGTAATTTCATGAAGGGCCCTTACCCTGGGCAAGTGTTAATTGTTGTAGGGTTGGACTCAAACAATGGCATATACCCTGTAGCATATGCAGTGGTAGAGACAGAATCAACAAGTAGTTGGACCTGGTTCTTGGAACTGTTAGGAGAAGATCTGATTCTGGGACCAAATTCAAACTTTACCTTCATTTCAGATAGACAAAAGGTGTGTACCACCTAACTTTTTTATTACCTTTTCTAAATACATTTGGTTAACTAATGTTGCATACATTGACTTTTGTTTAGGGAATAAAATCAGCAATGGAGAAGGTATTCCCTAGCGCAGAACACAGGTTCTGTTTGAGGCATATCCAGGAAAACATGAAGAAACAATGGAAAGGAAAAGACTTAAGTGACCAGCTTTGGGAGCGTGGTAAAGCAACAACAGTCAATCATTTTAACAGAGCAATGGATGAGTTGAAGAAGATCAATGTAGAGGCTCATGCTTAGGTGTCTAAGATCCCAGCAAACACTTGGGCTAAATCTCATTTTAGTGGTAAGTTTCTAGAAATTTATTGAGAAATGTTAATCTTCCCTATTGTGTGTTTACTATATGTGTAATTGTCTTCTGTTAATATCTATTATTCAAGAAGGGCACATACTGATTGTTTGTTGAATAAGCTTTGTGAGGTATTCAATTCTAAGTTAGATGAAGGTAGGGATAAACCTATTATCATTTGCTTAGAGTATATTAGAGAGTATCTTATGAGGGGGTTATGTACGGTGCAAAAGGAAATAGATAAGTGTGAAGGACTTCTAACCCCTACTGCAACTACACTGTTTGAAAAGATTAAGGCTGATGCATCAAAGTATGTGGCTAAATACAATGGGGCAGGGAAGTACCAAGTGGCAAGCACATGGCAAGACCAATATGTGGTAAACTTGAATGATCAAAGTTGCAGTTTTAGGTTTTGGGAGATTACAGGTTTCCCATGTAGACATGTTGTTTGTGCTATATGGGATAAAATTGAAAATGGTGAAAATGGCCCCACATGTTGATGAATGGGTCCATCCTTGCTATAGGTTATCAACATGGAAAGCCATGTATTTCAACAAAATTGATCCATTGAATGGACGTACAATGTGGCCTAAAAGTGACAGCCCATTCACTTTACTTCCACCAAAACATAAAACACAGGTTTGTATTTAAAGTACACCAAAAATATAGTGTACATGTGAACATGGAATGAATTCAATTTTAACTATAGTATATCAACATGTGTAGGTTGGGAGGCCTAAGAAGAAGAGAAGGAGGGGTGTTGATGAGCCAAACAGCCAAGTTGGTATATTAAGCAGGAAATATTTGGCAGTTACTTGTTCAAAATGTCATAACAAAGGGCACAATTCCAAAACATGTAAAGGGCAGGGAGGCAGTGGTGAAGTTGGAGGGGGTTGAAACTTAGTGGTTATTAGGATGCTGGTGTTGTAGGTATTTAGAAACTTATGTCATGTGTACTTGTTTGAAGATGTGTTAAGAACTTGAAAACTTTTCATGTAATGCTTGTGTTGTAGGTCTTTTGAAAACTTTGCATCATGGTTGTGTTAAGAACTTTATAACTTTGAATGTAATGGTGTGTATGCACTTTTTGGTAATGAATTAATATGTTTTGTGTACTACCCTTCACATATCAATTAATAACATTGTACATTTCAATTGCAAATGAAAACCATCTTCAAGATGCATTTACAATACACTTAAGAATTGCATTTCAAAAACATTCAAGAAATTGAACAATGAACTATAACAAACTACATTCCATTACCATTACCATTACCACTGCATTACACATTAATCTAATACATAAACCAAATACAACAACACCAATTCCAAAACCACCTACATAAACTGAAAGCAAAAAAACCCTCTCTGATTAAAATAAATATAAAAAAAACCCTGCAATGGTTACAAACCAAAAACGAAAACTCCATTACCATCCAAACCTTCACAAGATACTTAAAGATTAAAATAATACCAAAAAAAACACCCATGAACAAAACAACATTAGTTGGTAGTTCCACAATTTTGCAGTTACAATGGCGACCTTCTCTTCCAATCGATTCTTTGATCTTATCAAACCTGGAATGACCACCAAAGCCCTACCACACATAGGAGGATCTGGCCATCGAATGAAACCACATCTTCTACAGTTCCAAAATTGTCTTCCAGGGTTACGATCCGTCCATGAAGTGATCTTCGTTGCTGCATTCCCACATCTGCAAGTCACCATCTTTGAATCAGAAGCGATTGGATGTCGTGAAGGGTGCAACGGTCGAGCAACAGTGGAAAGGAGGATAGATGATCGACTGATGAAGCTAAAGGATTTGCCCAAAAATCGGACATGCAATTTCTTTTAAAGAGAGAAGGTTACAACTGAAATGACGAAATTACCCCTGCAATTTTTATTAAAAAATGAGTTAACGGTGAAATGCTAACGGAGTGAGTCGGAAGGACCATTTGTTAAAAGTTTTGAAACCACAGGGACCATCTGTGAGGTTTTTTGAACATAGGGACTAAACTTGATATTTCTGGAAATCACAGGAACCATTTTTGAAGTTTTCTCATTAAAATATATAAGATATTATAAAAAATTACGGTTAAATAATTTGTTTTATCGTTTTCATATTTCTATAAATATATATGTGAAAATTTTATTATTATATATGGTTTAGAAAATAATAATTGATAAAGTTATCTCTTAGCATTCAATGTCTATAAAAAATATGACATGTTAGTAAAATGATAAATACCAACAAATACCCGATAAAACTTATTCGAAAAACTATCTCGAGAAATACCCGAAAATATAACATATGTTATCAAACTAGGATTGTAAACGAACTGAACGTTCGGGGAAACGTTCGGAAGGAAGTTCATTTATGTTCATTTATTTAGTAAATGAACGAACATGAACATAAATTATCGTTCGCTTAGTTAAACGAAAGAACATGAACAACGGTCTCGTTCATTCATTTATATTCATGAAAGTTCGTTTATGTTGGTCATTTACGTTCGTTTAAGTTTATTTATATTCATAAATATTCAAATGTTTTTTTATTACATTACTATGTTATATGTTCATTTATGTTCAAATATGTTTAATTGTATTTGATAATGAGAGAGCTTTGGGACATAAGGTGCTTAAATAGGAGGCAAACCCTAAAATTTAAGCTTTGCCCCTGGCTTACATACACCCAGTGTACCAGGGGGTTAACCCTGTGCCCAAGTTCCTTCATAGTACGCCCATCGTACCTCATTTACGCCCAATGTACTTGGTACCCATGCAATATAGATAACCACTTAATAATTAAGAAATTTACCAGAAAAATCGGGCGTTACACCTTGTCCCCACGTCCCCTGTTGATCGAACAATTAAACTCAATGTAGCGATTCAAGATGTTACTTTCTCACATCCATTCAAAATTGGTGATTCTTAATGTGGCTTCACCAACTTGCCTAGCACATAAGCCTTTTTGAAGATAGATTTAAATAACATCCATGAAAACTAAAACCATCGAAATAGTAAAAATACATTTGCCCCAACGTTGAATGCAAATTGTTCAAATGCGATACTTTCTAAAATCCCCATAATAATGATGAAGTTTAAGATATCAAATTGATTTACTCAACTACTAAGTCAAAACGGATCTGTATCAATGAGATTAACAATTTATATTTCGTAATTGATCAGTACAAACTTTGGATGACCTAACTATATTAATAGCTAATTGGTAATGGTGGTATTTGTTGTGGTCTTAGGAAATTTGAGAGGGAAATACGAAATTGAAAAAGAGGGAATGTAAATTTGATCTATCACTCTAATGTTGGATGTCAGTGCATTTCTCAAGACAGTGTATATAGGTAAACCGATCATCTATCATGTGTGATTCATCTCATCAAAGTTATTTAAGTATTAAGAAGTTGAGGTAATATGATCTGTTTATTTTTTTTATTAGTACAATAATTTTCAACTATAAGAAAAGATTATAAAATGTAAAATGATTAAAAGAAAATTAGAATTGGAATAAACTAGGGAAGAATCCCGCTTTGCGGGATTGGATGCGCCAAAGAAAAATGATGCTACATTTCACCCATTTTAAGATTGAACTATCAAAATGTTGATAAAAAATCTAGCTGGTAACATACAAAGCAAATCATCCGTATGAGATTTAAATCCATTATTTAAAAAAAAAAAGGGTATAAGCTTACATTCTAAATACACCAAATTTAGTGGGTTAATTTATTCATTCTCTTAAACTGTCTACAACACTTCGAAGAAATTCAAAAATTTTACTTACAACTAAGTGGAAAAATCTAAAGGGCATTTTCGAAATATATATAAAAATATGAACCTTTGCACAGGAAACATCCATCACCATCTTTGCTTCTGCCTTTGCTATACCATTTGCCTCTCATTTTGATCCAACCTATCACACAACTCACAACAACAAAATGGTCATAATAACAAACATACTTTGCTAAATTACCATTTTACCCTTCTTGCATACCATAAACCAAATGGTGAAAAGGGACAACAACACCAGTTGCTGCTGTAAGTGTTTCTATAATACTATGTGTCCCTTGAATCAAAGGAAGCATTCTGAATCTTTATCACAAATAATAGGTTTTATTAGTGACTGTTGACTTTTATATTTTTTTTACCCAATACACAATTTACTGGAATAAATTAGAAGAAGATCATGGTTACCTGGCATATAAACACCATAAAGGTCTTTTTCCATCTTCCTAAGGAGTTCCAAGAAGTGTTAAAAAATGTCATTAAAAATTTTTGCAAATACCAGGAAATAACGTGTTTTCTAAGCAGGAACTTGAAGAAAAAAATCAAACAGTAGCCGATAACCGGTTCTTTGAGTAAAAATTTGTAAAAGTAATGGAGTAATGGTTACATGGAGATAGTTAGTAACCCGGGCTAACTTAACTTGTCTTGCCTAAGCTACTGTTATGTTTCTCTCTTTTTACTGCTAGAAACTTGAGGCAACGCTTTCCTAATGGCCTCAGCCTATTATAAAAGAATCAAAGAGAAACAAAATATGATGAGAAACACTCGGCAAATGTAATAAAATAATAAAAAAATAATAAAAAAAGTGCTACCATTGCAGCGTGTATTTTCCAATGTTGGGCAACATCGACCTTTTTAAGTTGATTTTTTACTTCAGATGGTTTTTCTTTTTGCTCTATAACAATAATTTTAAAAAATATATATATATATATATAAGCATTAATAACTGAAAATCCCATGAAAACCAATTTAATTTGTTTTCAGGATGGAAATTATAACCCCAAATCCACAATGCTGCAGACATTAAATAATGACTATCCAATTCCCATATATGCTTCTTTGTAAACAGAAGAAATTCAGTAATATGATTAATCAAGGTCATTATTGCCCAACAGATGTATGCATTAACACATTACAACCTGCGGGTAACATTAATACCTTCCTAACCCTAAACAGGGACTGCCTTGATAACTTTTAAATCAATTACAATAATTTTGGTAACTTATTGGCAATTCATGATCACATAGCAGATCAATACCCAAAAGTCTCAACCCACTGGATACGAAAGAAAGCATATACGATCATATCTATGAAAGTTGAAAAGCCATCGTGAATCTCTGGATGTGCTTTAACCAAATACCCTCTTTTGGGTGCCACCCATCCACCTGTAGAGAAAGTTTTGGTTTCTCCAGCAATTCTCTGTAATTCCAACTCTTAATTGTCTAATAATAACTTAAAAAATAAAGAGAAAGAACACGAATAGTGACATACAGTTGGATAATTGGACCAATCAAACACTTTGATTTCACTAATACCACTCACACCTTCTAACAGATTGTTGTAAAACTCATCTGGGGTATGACCAATTGATGTCTCCACACCCATCCCTGTTATACCGCCATTTTTTGAAACTGGAATTATGTCACAAAACATGCTAATTTTAGATTATAATTTCTTTTTTGTGTAAAAATATGATAACAGAACCTAGAAAAGACGAACGAAGAGTACCTTCTTTTTACCCTGGACGTAAAAGGGTTTATGTTTTCATTGAACCTATAGTTGTGAAAGAAGGATCGAGACGAAGCGAATAAAACCAACAACACCTCCAAAGATGAAGTAGAAGAGGTTTTAAATATCAATGGAGGTTTAGAGAAAGAAAAACAAACCTGATGCAAGAAAAAGCATAGCAGTAGCGATGTAATGACCATCTATGAAATCGGCGACCATCTGAACCGGATCCGGAGACGACTTCTAATCGGAGGTAAGGCTTCAACTGATGTAGGCCTCCTCCCTCATGTAAACAACGATGAATTGAAGTATTGAACCAAAGAAAGCCCCAATCAATTAGAGGTGGTGGGTATCAGCCAGTTTGCACCACATCTCCTTTGTCGGGTGATAACTCCCTCCGACCAGCCTTCTTGCAATACACGACAAAAGGGAATTTGTAGATGCGGAGATAAATACTGATGTTTTGGAAGGTTATTGGGATTATTTTGGGTTACGATTTGTTGCTGAAGCTGATGAAAAGAGGAAGATGGTAAACGGAGTGAAGAAATCAGAGGAAGTGTGCTATGAGGGCCGATAGCTTCCTCTGCAAGAGATGATTTGGCCTTTGAAGATGGTGATGCTCATGGCGAAGCTGAGGCTAGGGTTCTGAGAGGCCTCGTCGGAGGGTTCTCTTGGCAGCAGGTGGGGTGACGTCGGAGATGACGGGTGCCGATGGAGCCATGGTGATGTAAGGAGGAGCGGTGGTGATCGACTCCAAAGAGAAGCCGTTGAGTACGGTAAGCAAAATGAGAAAAAAAGGTGAGACGGAAGAAGATGAAAGGAGGCGAGGCGGTGCCAATATCTGTAAGAAAACTGCAGAAAATCAAACGTGTGTATATCGGTGTTAGAATCACTGGAACGAAGGTGGGATATATCACCACGTATACATCGAGCATAAATTATTAAACAAAAAAAATAAAAATAAAAAATAAAAAGTTTGGTCCAATAGGAAGTAAGAACTGTTCAAGTGGTACTTCTAAATTAGTATGTATATATAATATGATATTTTTAATCTTATGAAAAATAAATATGATACTAAATGAAAAAAAAAAATGGCAAATATTATGTTTAACAAGTTACATATGAAATTCACCTAAATAATTAAGTTGCTAGTATTAATTGTTTCTACTTCCTATCTATCTATTCCGACGCCAAACCGGTGAACAGAAAACCTCCATAAACCCTCTTTCACATCTGCTTCCATGGCGGTAGCCGCCGTAACAACAGCCCTCTCCACCTTCCACATCTCGAAACCCTACTCTATTGCCTGCAACCACCTTCGCTATCATACATTGTTTACATACTCTCTCTCCTCTCGCTCCTCCGAATTCATCACCACCTCCGTGTCATCATTAACTGATAAAAAACTCGTTGGTCAATGGAGAGGAGATCCTTGTTCGGTACGAATCCTCCATGTCATGGCGGACGCATCCGCCGTCAATTCACCGGCGGAGAAGAAATTGAGGTCGAGCAGAGGATTGAGGTCGACCAGAGAATTGACGTCGGAGCCGAGGTATTCCAAAGCTGCGAGGAGGTTTTACAACGAGAATTTCAAGGAGACCTCATCGCAGAGGCTCAGTAAAGTCCTCGCTGCTGCCGGAGGTGATATTCTTTTGTGAACATCTTATCACTTGCTTCTTTTTATCCACAGTTAGGATCAAAAGTAGGTTCTGATTGTGGGAATATATTTTGACTTCCAACTCGATGTTTCGATCATCACATACAATTCTTTGTTTCTGTATGCTTGTGAGAAGAGAAACTTAGATGCTTTGAACTAACCGACTGATGAATGTTTATATGAAAAGGAAGTTATGGCATGCCTTTTTGAATCTCTATAGATAGATTACTTCTGTCCTCTAGACATGAACTTCTTACATTACATCGTTCTCAAGAAACTTTTATGACATTTTGTTGTTAGTTGCATCTAGAAGGAGCTGTGAGGAGCTAATCTTCGAGGGTCGCGTGACTGTTAATGGCTCTGTATGCAATACTCCCCAGGTTAGCTTATTCATATTCTTGGTATATGTTTTCAATTGCCATTAAGTGATAGCTTCAAATAATCATTTGTTATAGTTGATATTGTTTTCCAATAACATGTGCAGACTAGAGTTGATCCTAAGAAGGATATGATATATGTAAATGGTAATCGCCTTCCTAAGAAACTGCCTCCAAAGGTCTATCTTGCTCTCAACAAGCCAAAAGGGTTTGTTTTGTGTCTAATGTTTATTACAACCCAACCCATTCAAATATTATTTTCTACTTCAAATATTCAATTCACTGAGCCAATACTTTTACAGATACATTTGTTCATCAGGAGAAACCCAAACTAAATCTGTCATATCTTTGTTTAGCGATTATATGAAGAGTTGGGTAAGTGCTACGTATCTGTTTTGCTCCTTGTAGCTTGAATGTTACAAATCTGAACCACTGTCTCTCTTTTCTTTTATCCAGGATAAAAGAAATCCAGGGCAACCGAAACCCCGATTGTTTACTGTAGGAAGGCTTGATGTTGCCACAACTGGGCTGATAATTGTAACAAATGATGGTACTTGTAAAGCTTTGTGAAAAGCAATTTAACTTTAGATGCATAGCTTTTAACCTATGATTATATGCTTTGTAGGGGAGTTTGCACAGAAAATTTCTCATCCTTCATCTGGTTTATCCAAAGAGTAAGGTTCCATACCAATATGTAATTAGTTAGTTTAATTGTAATATGCTTTCAAATGCTGCTGTGTGATTTTACAATTCCACGGATTGTTAAAAGAAACTGTCTTCTATGATGAAGAATTCAATGTGGCAGTGGATATTATTTGAAATTGAGTTTGCATGACATGGTGTTGATGTTATTTTATGGGTGAAGGTACATTGCAACAATAGATGGAGCAGTGAACAAACGACATTTGTTAGCAATTAGTGAGGGAACAATGGTTGATGGTGTCAAATGTATCCCAGATGCTGTGGAATTGCTACCACAACAGCCTGATAAATCAAGACCCCGCATTCGCATTGTGGTAACTCCATATGAAAACCAAAAATCTAACTTACCTTTGAGAGGTGAAATTTTATTATAAAATCATTTTGGTGATTTTATTTGTTTTGATTGAACTGGTTGTAGGTTCATGAGGGGAGAAATCATGAAGTTCGAGAACTTGTGAAAAGTGCTGGACTTCAGGTATGGTTTCAATTCTTCATCTGTGTAAAACTTAATGCTGTAACAAAACAATTTACTCCTTTTAAATTAGGACCAGAAAGCAGTAATAGAAGTTTATATGTACTATGGAAGAGGGTATTTATTAATCTTTTCATGGTGCCTTATATTTTGGCACACTGGTGAAAATACTGGCATTATTTTGATGAATTTTGCTTGCTACTGTTGTCATTCCAGATTTATTCACTGAAGAGGATGCGTATTGGTGCTTTCAGGCTTCCCCCAGATCTTTTGTAAGTATTATGAAACTTTTTATCATCAAAGTGACCATAATTTGACTAGAGTACATCTTGTGTAAATAGGTTTGGAAAACACATGGAACTAAAACCAGCTCATTTAAAGGCATTGGGGTGGGAGGACAAGTAATGTGTTGTGTTAGATGGTGTTAGAGAAGAAAGTAGAGTAATAGGTTATAATCTGTAAATTATATATTATCTCATGTTCGAGCTTTGAAATTTTGAATGGTGGTTTATTTAAACATTTGCAATGACTGTATGTATAGATGTGATGCGAGTAATAATAATTTCATACCAAATAACATTGTAGACAATTGACTGATTATTTTACAAGGAAAAAATACATACCACATAATAACAAACAGGACCAAAAAAGGCCTTATACCAACTACAACTACACAAAAGAATACAAAATTTGGGAAAACAGAGAAATCGGGAACACAAATGACTAATAATATCTTCTAACTCTTGGGAAAAGGGGTGGGGTGCATGCTTATGCATTTAAAAGATCCGTAGAACCAAAAATCAAACAAAACAAAATACTAGTAGCACAAGAGGAGGTTTTACCATAATGAACACCATCCATCCATGATGAGTGGAGTGGAGTGGAGTGGAGTGGATGTTAAAAGATTAAATAGGCAAGATCTCAGCCATCCTACCTTTGGCATCATCTGGAACTTCCCTACCAGGTACCTGCACCTTTAGAAGATTATAGTACCTACAGATACAATACAACATGATCATTGGTCATCACTTCTCTCATATCATAATAATTAGCAACACTTATGTTAATATTTCAAAGTAAATAAAATAAAAATGAACATACTCTATGGCAGTGAATAATGTGTCATGCTCTGTAACAAAGGCAAGTAATGCCTGCACACAAAAAATATACATGTCAGTTTTAATTCCCAAATATAACTACTATTGTAGTTGTACAGAAACTATTTATTGCATTTAATTACCTCCACTGGCATGTTTAGCAGCTCGTAGTAAGTTCTCACATGATCTAACCTCATTTGCACTGATTCATTATCAATTGATGGGATCGCAGACAAAGCCTATATTTATTATTACATCATTACATCCATCACAAAAAAGTAACCATTTTTTTTTAAAGTGTTCTTGATAAAATACATAATCACCATCACAAACCTGTTCTAATGCAATTGTATTCCTACATATCTGCTGCACCCCAAAAAGATTGATGCGTTTCATCTCCGCCAAAGCCTGATAAAAAACAAATTATATGCAATGTTTATCTGTTAAAACCCAAAAAAAAAAAAAAAAAGAATCTTTATATTGGAATCTTTGTGTTACAAACCTTGATGGATGCATGTGATGCAACAGCACAGATTCCACCAAATACATAGTTTCGTTTTGTTGGAGCAATGAAAGGACCAATTACCTCGTCTCTACGAGTTATCTATCTCACCAAAAACATAAATTAATTTATTTCTTGGAACATATTTGGAAAAAACAAAAAGATATAGAAACACACAAAAACACACACCTGGGTGATTAGAGATATAACATAATCATCAGGTTCCTCGGCATCTTGGTCCTCCAAGTATTCCCGTGTTGCCATTACCTGTGAACATCAAAATTAATTTGAAGATTAGATAAAACATCTCACAAGGTCAAAATAGTAATTTACAGCATGTGATGTTGACAATTGACATACCTGCATATTGAAAACTGTTTCTAACTGCATCTCAACACGTAAAACCTTCAAGCAATCAATTGCTAGCTTTCTGTAATCATCAGCAAATGATGCCAGGTCCTTATGAGCTACACTAGCATTTCGTTTATGATGCCCATGCCCAGGTGTCGGCTTAACATCCTTCTGCTCTTGTTCCACTTCTTCATCAGATGCTTTTGCTGATGCATTTCCAAACCTGTTATATTACACGACACATCTTCTCTTTAAAAATAAATAAATAAAACTGCCTTTCATATATCGATACATAAAACAAGAACTTGCCTTTCTATAGAATCGGCAATGTACTCCAATGAATCACTAAGGGATGCCAACAATATAAGTTTGTTGTTATCACGAATTAAGGACTCCTGCAACAAGAGATATCTTATCTTATTGTAATCTTCTGTAAACCAATAACTTAAAATTTTAAAAGGAATAATAAAACAGACCTGTTTGATTGGCCTTAGTTTCATGAGAAGAGCACTGATTTCCAATTCAACCCCATCAGATTCAGCATCAGCAATATGATTATCTCCATTGGCATGAGCATGAGCATGAGCATGAGCAAGTGAAGTTGGCAAAAATGCACTTGCTGGATCATGTCGCATCAGATTTTCAATGTCATGTCTTCCAATAAGCATATAACTCTGCTTCTCAAGAACTGCCTGATATATCATAACTCATACATTAAGTTATTATTTATAAATTTTTTAAAGAAAAGAACAAAAAAATTAAAGAAACAGCCATGCCTCAGTGTATGATGCCCGACATCTTTCATATGTTCTTTCAAGAAAAGTTTGCACATACTTCACAAGGTCACCAGAAAATTTTGGCATTGCTTGTGCCCACCCAAGCACCTATAGTAATATTGTGCAAATTAAAACACAATCAAACGAGAAATAAATAATTTTTTTTAAAAAAAAAGAAAAAAACATGCCTCTTTTGCGAGAAAATCAATGGTCAAAAGTCCTTGTAAGACAGGTCGACCCTTGGAAACTGATGGGGTGTAAGCAGTAGCAGGATTTGCTCGAGGGCGAAATGCAGCGGGACCTACATACAAGATTCCAATTGGAAATTAGTAATTAGTAATCAAGTGAAGAATTTATATAGCAGTTAATTGAAAGGTAAGGATTCAAAGAACTTGCTTGATATTGCTTGTTGCACGCCTTTTCTGTAATCTACAAACATAGTTGGGAGGAAGTGATCTTTTACAAAGTTTTCAACAAATGCCAACAATCCATCATTCCTGCAACAAAAAGGTCAAGATACACCATAAGACATGTTGATGCTTGATCATATAAAAAGTAAAAACATTGGAAAAGGTACAAAGCTTACCCTAGTTGAGAATACTTTTGAGGCAGCATTGCAGCTATTTTATCTGTAAATTGTAGAACAGGTCGGTATACAGATGCTGCTAGATATATGCCTTGTTCTGGTAGGAGGGAAGATGAACCATAACCCTCTTGGACATTTTGACCTTTCCTATTTCGCCCTTGTCGAATCAAATCAGCACCTGACATAAGTCAGATACACACCACACAAAAGTTAAAACACTTTCCAAATATAAGTAGTAACAGGTAATATAAAGTCAATGAGCAGACCTTGGCTGGATACTGAAGCATCAGTGAAGCGAAAGGCAAATGTAAGGCCATCTTCTGTCTTATCCCTGTTAACAAAAGTATTAATATAAACAAACAAACAGAAAAATGAGCTATACATGGAAAAAGGTCTGGAAAAGAATTAGAGTATATTTGCTTGCCCTTTTTCTTTTGAAGGAGCCTTGTTTGCAAGTCTAGCTGTTTGAACAGCAGCATCAGCAGATGCAGCTTCAGGAGTTGCTCGCAGAATCTCACAAATGAGTTGTTGGCATTCACTCTGTCAAATATACAGTTAAAAATCATGAACTATATAACTAGTATTCATAAGATAGTAAAAAGAGTAGCACTAATTAGTAATTATTGCCTGTAGAACAGTCATGGAAAAGCCAATAGTGTAGCCTCCTGTGTCCTTAGATGATTCAGAATCAGGGTTCCCAGATATCTCAGTCACCATGGATTTCGGTGTGTTCATTGGTGCTTTTTGAGAAGATTTTGATTCAAGAAGCTCCCCAACAACCACATGGTTGTCTGCAAAATATAAAAAATGATAAAACTCATTCAGTCACAATCACAGATCATGATTACATAATTAGTAAAATACTTATTATACTAACCAAATATCCGAACAATAGCATCTAGAATAGAATCAAGAAGTTCCTTTGCTGCATTCTGTGCAGCTCCCATGGGAGCCATCACAGGTGACACAGGGCTAACTGCCAATAATGTTCCAGCTAACAATGATCCGTTTTTCTGTTTATGTTTTGGTAACTGGTAGCTCTGCAACTGCCCTTTTACATAATGAAGACCTGTTGTAGCAGTTCGGGCAGCCTGCCCAACACCAGCTCTACAAGAATTTACATATTCTGCCTGTGCTTTGATCTTTGATGTAATAACCTCATGAATTGTAGGTCTTAATCTTTGGCTGTAGATATATAGACAAAAAAAAAAAACAAGAATAATAATAAGTGTCTTCATTTGGAAATACAACATAAAAAAGAGCAGCATTACATACCACATTATAGCACCAGCAGCTGCAACTTTCCCAAGCATGCAAAGGCACTCAACCATAGTCTGCAGATACTTCACATGAATAGGAGATTCGCTTTTTCTCATTATTTCCTGTAATTAAATAGAACCCCAATTGAAAAAGAGGAAAAAAAAACTTTACAAATTTAATAGGAAAGGTTATATCATACAACAAATTCATCAGGAGTGGATTCAGTAAGCCATGTTGGAAGACGAGCAGTATTCTTCATGTCAGCACTATCTTGATTGTCATCATCATCATGGCCATCATATGAGGAACTGAAATACATAAAATTCGCATCAGTATTTCCATATAAATTCACTTCGGAATTGAGATTCCATCTTACCCTCCATCAACGGAACTGGCAATTCCAACGTGACTGTCGCCTTTCTGCAATCTGGTTCTCCGGGAAAGAGACTGTGAATGATTCATTGAAAATGCAGCAACTGTGGTGGTTGGAATAGCATCATCCTTCTCATTCATACTAGGGGTAGCTGAGCTGCACTAAAAGATCATCAGTTCTACAAAATCCCTCTTTCATATTACTCTTGAGTTCAAAATGAAGCATGTAGTTATTGCAAAGCATCATAATTACCTATATTCACCAGTATTATAAAGATGAGCATGCAAAGATTCCAACACTTTATAAAAGAGAACACCCCGCAATTTTGTCAGCTCAGATCGGACATCTTGAAGAGCACCAACCTGTTAAAACCAACCAGTATGTAAATTTTCTACTATAAACCTAATTCTTTCTCTGAAAAGGCAACATAGTAACAGTATAGATGCTCAAATTGACTCACTGTTTGAAGTCCCTCTCTTTCAAGCATTCTAGATGATTGAACATGAACTTGGACTGCTGCGTAAAACTGATTGTCATCAATAAGCTTGTTAATACGAGATGGGACCTGAAACATATGAACAGATTCAATTCAAGATCTTCAGTCTCCATAACTTGCACAGTTAACAAAGTTAGAAGGTGCACACAAACCTGAGCTATGTTTTCAATTTGATCTAACAAGGAGATAATGTGTCTCAATGTCATGGATCGATACCAAAGCTGATGCAACTGTTTGTTGCGAGCACTAATGACTTTTTTTGCATTGCCCAGATCAACTTTAAGTGTCCGGATGCTTTGAGTAGACTCACTAAATAACCGTAATATTTGTGAATAATTTTGAATTGCTCTGTTGAATCCACCATGATAAGTTTGAACAACTTCATCCACAACTTCCTCAACGATATCACTCTGGTCTTTCAATGTTTGGACTTCTGCATCTCGATCTTTTGAGGTCAAGATATGGACAACATGAGGTAACGAATCAAATCGTGCCACAGTCCAGCTCTCATCTACATTCTCAAGATCATCTCTTAAATACTGCAGTGGAAACAGACCAGATAATAAACATCAAAACAAATCTTCCACCATTCCTCATTAATACACACTTGCCTATTTAGTTATCTCATTTTACGCACATTTGGTCCCTTATATACTACTAGTATAACACCATCATTACCCCCACTTTCCCTATAACTAGTATTTTAGTCGAGATTTTTCTCAAATTAGTTAATGCACGTCACTTATAGTTGAAAAGCAGCTCGCTTGATCCCAAATGTCAAAGTGTAGGTCTTATCTATGGAGGAGAGGAGTAATATTTTCAATGGAATTCGTCAAGTTCTGAATGACTAAAAGCCCTTTAAACTACATGACAGATATACACAAGAGAAAAACAAAGTGGTGTGAGGTTTAATTAGAACTCACCGCTTTATCTTGAGGAACAGGCAAATTATCAAAGAGTCCCATAGCTCGGAGGAACTAAACAAGCAAATCGCTTTCGAAATACGTCCCGGCCACAATTCAGAATTCTGCAAGCAAAGAAGAGATCAATTATGCCTAAATTGCAATCCCGCTTGTGCCGAAAATCCGTTGACGAAGGGCGAAGAGAGGAAAACAACGATTGCTTACCGGAAAACGACACGAATATGGTGGTGATCGGAGGATCTGGAGGGAGGAGAGAGAAGAGCTTGGTGGAGCTCCAGCAGATTGAGAAAAAGGGGCACTGACGATGATCTTGTAACTATACGTGTTTAACCATGGTTGAGTTTTTGAACTGCTGACCGTGACCCATCTCCATCTGACTCAATTCCTATCAGGACCTCGTAATGTTGTAATCTTTCCACCAAACCGCGTCTAATACGAGAAGATGGTCAAGGGTAAAAAGGTAATTTCATAGGGACTATGTGGATTTGGAACCTGTCTAAATAAATAAAAATAATATGATTTCAAGAAATATACAGCAAAGATGGTTGGATGGATATAAAATTAATTTAAGTTCTATAATATCGTTGTCTACCCAATTAAGGTTGCAATAAACTATGTTTATCTACTCGGTGATTACTTAACCAATTAGAATGACTCTTCTTATATATCGTGTTTTTCAAACTTTTAGACTTTTCTTTCAACGAAGTTGATATTTAAAAATTGAATGTTCTCTTATAGACTTACTCTTGATTATATATTCATAAAGAATACAATACCTTACTCTTGATTATATATTCATAAATAATACAATACATTAGAGTATGCATGACAACAATGTATGTATCGTGTATGTATGATAAATATAAACAAAACAGTATATAGATTGTGGCTTTGAATTAAATTCAAAAAAATATTGTTTCAAGTAATATACCGGTGTTATTATGTTTAATTGTTTCCTCCTGTTTCCAAATTTCTCAATTTACAATTATCTTATCATGCCGATCAAGCATTTGGTTCACTTAGAATATAATATAATGAAATATGATAGAAATGAAACTATATACAAATTTTGTTATAAAAAAAAATCAGACCATGTAAAATTTTGATGCAATCGAGTTTTGCAGGAATGACAAATTAAATTCTTATATGCAATTCTATACATATCCCCTTCCAAATTGTTTCATGTATCCCTTGATGAGTGAAATAGTATTTGTGTATCCTCGTGATTTGATAATTTATATGAGTGAGAGATATATTTCTTATTATTGGAGATAAATCCCCTATTCCCCTACATAATTAGTTTATTTGTTTCCTATATTTGATTATTTAGTTAACTTGTATATCTCCTACAATTATGTTGTATCTTGTATGTAATCCCGTTTAATGATCAATAATATTCAAAGGGAACATGTATCCCATTCTCACATGGTATCAGCCTCCTCTCATTCCTAACCCTAAATAGCCCCTCCTTCTCTTCTTCTTCCTTACACGATGACCACCTCCTCAGAAAGTTCATGTTCGTTAAATACCCTCATATACATGCTTACTGTCAAGTTAAACTCCTCTAATTATCTTCTCTGGAAATATCAGATCATCTCGCTTCTTCATCAAAAGTGGATGAGTCATGTTGATGCTTCCTCCACCATCTCACCATCTACTATTCTTATCGACGAAAAAGAAACTCTAAACCCGAACGTGTGATGTTTGAGTGGAACTCGGTCAGAAAGTCCTCTTAATCCTATAATCTTCCTTGTTAGAAGAGTCCATGGCCTCTTTATACCTCGTGAAGTGCGGACAACTTTGGAGTTTGCTTATAGTCATGACTCTCAAGAAAGATCACAGAACCTCAAAGATTCCTTACGCCAACTCAAAAAGGGTACCCTCTTTGTTTCTGGTTATGCTAAGAAATTTAAATCTATATGTGATAAACTCTAGGCCATCGGACAACCGGTTCCTGAAACTAACAAGAGCTGTTGGTTCTTGTGTGGCTTAGGGCCAACGTTTGAAACCTTCTCAACTGCTCATCAAGCACTCCTTACACTGCGTCTTGTTACCTTTAATGCTAACTCCTCTCATGGGAGAGGTAGATTTGGACATTCCAGTACGCGGGGATCTTCATCTTCTCGTAGCAGGGGAAGGTTTGGTCGTCGACCTCATCACTGCCAATTATGCCACCATGATGGTCAGTATGCCAACGTATGTCCAGAACTCAATAGTTATGCTCAACGATCTTCTTATTCTGCTCCCAATCTTGTTCGAGCTTTTAACACTAATTGCAACATAAATGAATCTACTTCTGATTGGTGTGTCGATTCAGGAGCAACAACCCACATGGCTCCATCTTCGATTGGTATGGATTCCTCAATCCTTTATCATGACAAAGACAATGTTGCTTTTGGAAATGGTAATGTGCTTCCCATCTCTCTTATTGGCACTTTATCCTGTCTCCACATTTAAAATTACAAGATGTTATCATAGTTCCACACATCAAAAAGAAGCTACTCTTTATCAACAAGTTAACTAATGATTACCTGGTTGATTTTTTGTTTTCTCGGACCTATTTTGCTATTCAGAACACATTCAACAAAAAGATTTTGGAACGCGCAAGCATAAAGGTGGTTTATACATCTTGCATCTAACATCTCAAGCTTTGGTGGCATCAATGATTTCTTCCAATATTGCATCTTTGGATTTATGGCATAAATGACTTGGTCATGTTTCTTATGATGTTATTTTTCTTCTTAATAAATATGGATATTTGGTTGTTACTTCTATCTTACCGAGTCCTACTTTATGCACATCTTGTCAACTCTCCAAGCAACATCATTTACCCTTTCAATTGAATGTTAAAAGATTTTTGCATGTTCTTGATTTAGTTCACTGAGATTTATGGGGACCGACTCCTATCACTTATGTTGATGGTTATCGTTACTATGCTTTATTCATTGATGACTACTCTCAGTTTTCTTGGTTTTATCCTCTAAAATAGAAATAAGATTTTTATGAGGTTTTAGTCACTTTTTTTAACGTTTGTTCTAACCCAATTCTCTTGCAAGATGAAGGTTTTTCAAAGTGACGGAGGCACTGAATTTTTAAATCATTATGTGTGCAAATTGTTTGCTGAAAATGGAACTCATCATCAAATGTTGTGTCCTTATGTTCCGCAACAAAATGGTCATGTTGAACGCAAGCATCGTCGTCTAACCGAAACCGGTCTTGCCATGCTTTTTGGCACAAATGCACCTGCACATTTTTTGGGTGGATGTTTTCTCTTCTGCCACTTGTGTTATAAATCGTCTACCCACGAAACTTTAACAACATAAATCTCCCTTTGAAACTCTTTTTAAAGTTGTTCCTAACTATAACAACTTTAAGGGGTTTGGATGTCGGGTTTTTCCTTATTTAAGACCATATGCGGAGCATAAACTAGCACATTGAAGCATTGCATGCATCTTCCTTGGTTATTGCACTCGGTATAAAGGTTACAAATGTTTCGATCCTATTACTTCTAAAATCTTCATCACCACACATGTTAAGTTTGATGAAACTTCCTTCTCGTTTGCAAGTGACACATCCTCTACCAACACTCTAACCTTATTTTTAAGTAGTGACAAATCTAGAACGTAAAACATATGGTTCGCTATTTAAATGAAACCGATAGAAAAAATAAATAATAATAATCAAATATTAGTTGAGGGTTTGGATCTGGTCGAATTGTATAAGCAAAAAAAATCAAATTATTATTAAAGACATTCTTGATTTTGATTTCCGAAATAAACAACAATTCACAAACAACAATCAAATAACCAAACACATGAACAACAATCAAATAATCAATTCGTATTGAAAAAATTGAAATAAAAAAAAAAAAAAAAAACCTATTATGAACTCATTGAACAATAATAATAAAAAAAATTCACTAAGTATTCCCAAACATTTAATAGCTTTGTCTTTGATGCTTATGGAATAAATATTAACAAGAAAAAGAAAAGAAACCAAACAGTAAATTCAATTAAACCTACAACTAAATTATGAATAATGGTCTTTGTCATAGAATATTGGAATTGAAAATAGAATTTCCACATACTTTAATCAATTTTTACAAAGTTAACAAAGTAGAATATATTTACCGGCGATTGCAAATTTGATTGACGGTTATTAATAATTGAAGATTGAAGGTTAATGTGCTATAAAACAATTGATTTGTGACTTAATTTTTTAATTTTTTATTATAGCTTGTATTAGGCTATGAATATTAGATTATAAATTAAAAGATATTGGACTATTAAAATACAGATTATGGAGTTCAAAAATCTAATTTATATATTTTTTTTGTTCCCAAAATATTTAGGTGGTTCATTTGTATTTTTTTTTAAGCTAGGTCATAATTTTTAGTTTCAAATAACTTGTTATACAGAAATAAAAAAGTTGGGTTAAGTGACCCGTCAATGTAACACATAAACTCGCCGATGTTTTTTAGTTGTTACTCTGATGATATACCATTCGTTCCCATTCACCAAGCTGTAGCACAACCAGAACCTTCACTGATACGTGTTCACTCGTCATCCATCCTATTCCTTCCATGTTTGCATGACGACTCATTCCTGGAAACCACTGCACCTTTGCCACCTCTACCATCTACAGCTCCGTCAAAGCATACCAACAATGTATGTATCATGTATGTATGACAAATATAAACAAAACAGTAAATAGATTGGGGTTTTGAATTAAATTTAAAAAAAAAAAAAATCTTGTTTTGAGTAATATAACAATGGTATTATGTTTAATTGAAATGAAACTACAAATTCTAATAGAAAATATTCAAACCATGTAAACGTTTGATGCAATCAAGCAGTAATGTAAAATTAAATTCTTATAGATAATTCTATATGTACCCCTTCTCAAATTGTTTTGTGCATCCCCTTGTGAATAAAATAGTGTTTGTGTATGTTCATGATTTGACAATTTATATGAATGAGGAGATACGTATAATAACAAAGTTTATATACTTCTTACATTTGATTGGCAGGCTAGATAGGAGA